GTATGAGTGTTCTTGCTGCTACTGCTGGCTTGAAGTATCACTAAAAGCTCCATCTAGAAAAGAAAAAGCAGGACATCCGGACATGCTGCAGCTTGAAATGGATACCTCATTCTCTGAAGCTCCCCTGAGCCTAGGCAGTACTATTCAACCTTTCGCACTCTAAAACTATGCTGGCACAGAAGGAAAAAAATGTCTCCAGACTCAGCTTAAGCCTGTCATAACCTCAGAGTGCCATCAACAAGCTCTAAAGCACCTGATTTCTTTACCTCACGAGATCTGAGTTTAGTGCACTGAGATTTTAAGGATCTCTATGACGTAAATAAGTCTGTCCACTCACAGCTGACAACAGCAGACGTCCCTGTCTTCCTTCTCCGTTGGGCCATCACAAGCCCCCTCAAACACAGCAGCTGTGCCCAAGACCTTCCTGCTGAATAATAACAGTGCCACACAGTAGAAGAACAGGTGTTTATGTTCTGCTTTATATCTCCTTATACTTCCTATAGAAGCCAAAAAATAATAAATACATACATTTTTTAAAATGCTGGCAAAACTATACAACTCTATTATATTAGAGGCTGTTGCTACATTGTGCTTGACAGAAATAACTGCACCAAGAAGGAACGTTATTTCTAGACTTTATTTAATGACTGTGAAGACTCAAAAGGCCAAGTTAGAAACTAAAGGCCAAGTTTTAATGGAGTCAGATCTTGAAGGCTTTTAGCTGGTCCTTGGGTGCTTTTATTATGACATGCTAACCAACTTTAAAACAAAATGTTATTTCATAAGAACAAAAAGCATGTTTTGACTTATTTCTTATTTGGACCACGTTGAGCCCAGAAATTCAAACTTGTATATATTTACTACATTGAGTAATGTGATAAATCACAAAGTATATGAAGCAATGATATCAAATAACTATGAATAAAAACCACACCAAAACCTCTATGAGATTACATTTATGTCTAGCTGTTTAAATAGGCCTAGTACTGCCAATACTGTGCTGCAATACCCTCAAATGGAGGGGGTGGGATTTATAACGACATTTATCTTCATCACAAATGACCACAACAAGCCTCTATTAAATTTTAAGCAGCTGAAATGCTCTAGAGGTTCTGCTTAACAGCGTGTCAAAGCTTGTGGTGACACGGTCGCTGCATCTGGGATGCTTGGGACACTTTGGCGCTAGAGTTGCTAAGGTAACACATTACAGTTAATGACACAGTGTAGAGGTGAGGAAAGATGACAGCATCAAAGCATAATGAGTCATAACAAGAGGATTGTAATTTTATCAGCCACATTAGCATGAGCTGACTTACTTGTCCAAATCGAAAGACTTTTTTTTAGTTTGTTACAGTCTATACGATCAAGAAATCACATATGTGGATGTTTTGGGGTTTGTTTGTTTGTTTTTTTTAGATTTACTGTTAACAACAGGGGTGTAAAACAGGCTAGAGTTGGTCCACCAAAGGATCCAGTCTGGCTTTGAAGAGTCAAAAAGTCGAAAAGGAAAAGAGCAGAAATCTGTGACTTTTCACTGTATTTCACACAAAGAAGAACTGTGCTGGAAGTCTTTAGGATTCATGAGTAGGTGTCTGAACTGTTAATTAGAGCCAAGACATAGGATTGGCCTTTACTGACAGAAAAATGGAGTGATCTGTTGAGATCAGCTGCATGTGTACAGTATGTGACCTGTGAAAAAAAGACAACCCAACCCTATAATTTTCCACTTTTTTGCATGAAAATTTAAATGAACAAATTGATGATGTCAGACTGAATCTAAAAGGAAACTGGAAGGTTGTTGACTTCCTTGTTTCCTGTTATCCAATGTGCCGTATACTTGCAAACTCTCATAAAATGAATGTTGAATTGTTAAGCGTGGCATTAGTCTCTGTTTTACAATACACTGAAAGTTTAAAGGACGTGGAAAGCAGTAATAAAAACATTTAATGTTTCCACAAACTGAGCGTTCCCTCCATCACATCATAAACGTGACTGTGATTGCTCAAGGACATTTTGAAAATAGCCTTGAAGAAGCCTTGTGCTCAATTTCATTAGTGGTTCCTGGTTTAATCCTGTAGCACTGCACCATATGAATTATCTGCCAGTGGTGCCAAATTGCTTTTGTCCCTATTTCAGCCAGCAGAGCACTGCCAGCTACAGTGCAGATAAGGACAACCATAGGAAACTTTTACTAGAAGAGATTTTACAAACTATGGCATACTGTTGCATCTACATCAGCATTTTTGTTTCCTTACATCACTATAGTTTAGTCAAAAAAAGAGTTTTATATTCTAATTTGAGGATAAATTGGATGCACTCCTATCAACATCTGTCTGATGCCCTAATTGTAGCGTCTTTCTTGGTGGATTGAAGATATGGAAGGTCAAATGTTAAAAATTATGACATAAATCTTGAAAAAGCCAAAAGGCAAGAAAGTAAGAAACACTTCAAACATAAGAAGTTATATAAAGACTTGAAAGGCAAACTCAAACAGCTGGTACGATAAACACCTGGGAACATTATAAGACGTGCAAACCACAGGTGTCAGTTATCATTAAACCACTATGCAATAACGCCTACACAAATGTAAAGGAAGAAACTGGAAATAAAAATACGTAAAAATATAAATGGAAACAGAAGATATAAGTTGAAAACAGAGTCTGTAAAATTAAACTCTCTTAGGTGATTTTTTAAGAATTTCTGTAAATAGTTTCAGGATTAGCTCTCAGTGCTTCTTGGAGGACACTCCAAAGCTCTTTGTTGGCTGTTTCTTGCCTTTCGTTCTGTTCTGTCAAGAGGAACACAACATGCTTGAATGACCACCACAGTAGTTTCTCTTTGCATCCCTTTATTAAGAATGGCTTCTTGACAGACAACCTTCTGCCATTTTTGACAAGGCTTCAGTAAATAGTAGATGGATCAACTGAAAGGACAGATTCTTCTCCCAGGTCTTGTGTCAGGTCTTTGCTGGAATATTTCTTTATAATTTTTAAGGACTTGACTTTGTTTGCTTATATAGTGGTCAGTGTTAAGTGGTGTAACAAAGAATAAAAATGTTCTGAAAATTAATGACTGGAGTGAACATGAGTGAAAAAGCAGTCAAGAAACAAAAACAACAAAAAAGTGAAAGACCTTCAGAATTTCTGTAGAACTATTGCTCAAGACCAAAAAACAAAGGGGGAAATGTTTCCCACTATGCTGTGTCACAGTTTTGTTTTGTTTTTTGCTTCTTTTTTTTTTTTTTTTTT